GAAAATAGTTGGACTACCGATGGGATCTACAATCTCAACTCTTTTGGGAAATCTATACATGGACAAATTATAAAGGAAATTCGAGAAGTCACAACTGCAACCAAGAGTGCTCATGCGATACCTGGATGGTTACTTTGCAATTTGGTCGCATGGTAAGGAAAATTTGAATGAATTCCTCAATTTTCTAAGGCAACTTGATGGAAGAATTAAATTCACAATGGAGATGGAGGAGGATAAAAGACTACTCTTTCTTGAAAGTGGAATCATGCAGTCCAACGAGACACTGATGAGAAGATATTTCAGAAAAAATTCATAAGCGAGAATACTCCTAAATTTTTAGTCTCAACATAACTACAGACTGAAGATCGGAATACTGAGGAGCTTGATCATCCACAACATAATACACTGGGTACTAGGACGAGGAGTGCAACAAACTGACTGGGATTTTCCTTACTAAGTGGTATTCAAAATAATTTATAGCAAGAAATGCAGGTGCCAAAAAGAGAAGATTTCAATTCGGATTTTATGAAGACAAGATCAGGAATCAGAGGGATGACGAAAAGGGGATATGTCTTCACTCATATGAACTGAGCCTAAAATTTCGACCGTTACTTAGAAAATGGTATATCAAGGTGATAGCAAGGAAGACAACATTTTTCATTAGTATGTAGAAGCAACAAAAGAAGACTGACAAAGTAATTAGCTCGGGAGTTTATCGAACCAAATGCGCCGGCAGTGAGCAGAAGTATAATGGTGAAACAGGAAGAAAAATCGGCCTACGAATCTAGGAACATCAAAGAGTCAGTTAAATTATGGATACGGAAAGATCGGAAATAGCGGAACACATTGCACAGACGGGAAACGAAATCGAAAAAGAGGCTTGCTGTGTATAGCGAAAATACGAGAAAACACAAGATCCGAGAGGCCATAGATATACTGACTAAAGGAAAGATAATGAAGAAGAGACTTGAAGAAGGCAATATCAGCGAAAACTTTGCATATTGCCTAAGCACATTTGGAGAAGAGCAGGCAACATTAATATCACCCAAAAGAAGACGACAATGTTAATTTTAGGAAAGGAAATCGCAAAAAGACCAGAAAGGAACAATCGGAAACCAGGAGTAGACGTCTATAGTGAGCCTAATCGAAACAAGTAGAACCACAATATTTGTGGGTTAGCACACAAGAGACTAGGACAGAGAAAGTCATAGACTTGACATTACTGATAGAAGTACGATAGATTTGGCGGAGACTAGAGCTGGTTGGCTAGCAGTAGACGTGGCTCATCATAGACATGGTCCATGAAACAAAGGCTTGACGATTAGAATTACTCGATATCTATAGCCTCAGCGACGCGGGAGTATACGTGCCATCAAAAGCTTGATGCAGTGTGGAAAATAGCACCTCGAGAAGCACAGATAGTGTGCCAGGGGTCAAGTGGAATACCTGAAGCAGGGAGATAGGAGAAAGATCCTAAGGGACAGGAGGAAGACTCTGATAAGACTTATGGGAAGAGGATTGCTGAATAATATGGCAAATTCAGATCAACGTTTCCAGCACAATGATAGAGGGATAGGGTGTGAGGAGGTACAATGAAATCCGCTCAAAATGGCACATCATACGACATTTAAATAAACAATTAGCAATTGTGATAGTGAAGGGGTGGTATGAGGAAATAGAATAGGTGAATAGCCCAGGACAGAAGTAGATAGCACAACTGTTTAGCAGAAGATTGGTCGAAGGATCGACATCTCTTGTCTCTTTGACGAGTTGTGGTGTGGAGCTTTGAGGGACAAGGTTCACTGAAGATACCAACTACGATGCCGGCGGAACGTCTGAAAATGTACTAAGTCTACGGTCGAATCTGGATATTATCATGCATACAATGGACTTCGGACTAGGTGCGTTCCTCTCTGTCTTCCTGTCAATAATACCAAGTTGCCAAGACAAGTTCAAACAATTACTAATACTGAATTTGTCTGAAAAAATGTGTTGCAAGTGTAAATTAGTTTAGAGCATAAGAAAAAAAGGCAATAAATATCCATTCCCTATTTACTACTTTCTTAACTTCTATATTGGGCAGTTTTTCGGATAGTAATAAATAGAGCCTTCTGGTGTTGTCAATAAGAATAAACCAGAATGCTCAAAACTGCCTACTCGGAAAATGAGGGTAGAAATGTGCTCCACAAGACAGGCTTCTAAATCAGGAAGCTTTTGGTCACCAGGGGCAGGTCGACACTCCTCAGCCGCAAGATGACCGATTGCCCGCAGTACAGCTGCTGAATATGCTTGCCCAGCTAAGCCGAGTCGCAGTTGAGCGGGCGTAATAGCGCGTATCTGATGCATTAATACACGACCCAGTACTGCTTCACGTGGCTTTCCCATAGAGATGGCT